GCCACTCTATGTTTCGTGTTTGCTGAAAAACGACGCCATCTCTGGCGGTTCCGATATGACACTGGACGATCGCTCGTACGTAATGCAATTCGTGCAGACCATGGATTTGAATATGTCTGTCAGCTATTTGTATCCACGATTCATTCCAATACACAATGTCGATGTTGATGACAACGAATTGCCCATGTCCATACGTTGCACACACGAAAAAATGAGCGAAGACGGCGCCTACATACTCGAGAACGGTGTACATCTGTTCGTCTGGTTGGGTCAATCGTTGCCGCAAACCTTCATCCAGCCACTGTTCGGTGTACAGTGCACACAACAGGTGAATGCTGAACGATTTGCCATTATTGGCGAAACACCGTTGGCGGAACGCGTGCGCAATATTATCGATACGATCATGAAGGAACGAACCAGAAATATGCGTGTAAGTAGTCACATGTCAGCTTGTGTGTTTTCGCGCAGCGTTACTTATTTTCTTATATTACCATTTGTTTCATTTGGAAATAGGTAACATGCGTGCGACAAAACGACAAACTGGAATCAGTTTTCCGTCACTTCTTGATCGAGGATCGCGGCACAGATGGCTCAGCCAGCTATGTGGACTTCTTGTGTCATATGCATAAGGAGATTAAGGATTTGCTAAGTTAGCTTGTGGGTTGTGGTAAAAGTAGCAGCTGCAACATGTCGCAAAGTGGGAATGCTGCCAGACAAACAAACACAATGTATAACACAACCAGCCAGCTAATGTGCCGTAGCTATTCCCAGAATCGTGCACGGTTGCATCGGCTCTCTCGTAAACGTTGGTAGTTGATTGTGTATGAATACATATACACATACATACAAACAAATATACTTGAACGCATACGCATACAATAGACAGTTCCATATACTTATTGCAATTTCCACATCTACCCACATGCATACACATATAATTATATTATATTATATAACCGCAAACTAATTTAGTGTATTTTTTGTCATTTTGAATGCTTAAATAACATTTTGATTTGGTATTTGCCTTAACGCTTCCTTCCCCCTCTTTTTTTTTTTTTATTTTGCATTGTCTAAACTTTTGCTTGTGGTCTATTATTTTCCGCGTAATTTAGGTATATATATACATACATAATATTGTGCAAATTTTTAATATTATTATTTTAAAAATGTTAAGAAAGAGAGAAGATTATCATATTTGCAAAATATATACGAAACTACGAAAATATTCAATTAAGTATGTAATTTTATTGTATTATTAAAACTGGTATAGTGGCATACGTTAGTTATATTTGAAATTAAGCGAAATTTTCCCATTGCTTACACATCTATGTTAGTTTTATGTGCGTAAATAAGAAATGTTTCCAATTTGGCGTTGCTCAATTTAAGTAAAAACGTTGAAATTGTCAATGACGGCCGGTATTGGTAAATTGGTATAATGTCAAAAGTACTAAAATTGTATTTGCTTCCGTAGTTAATTAGACTATAAAGTTGGAAACAGCAATTTTCCATTTAAATTTTGAACGTTGTGGCACTGTCACCCTTAAAAGAGACATACATTTCATAAAATAATCAATAAATATTAAATTAAAATTTAACACTACTCGAATTATTTTTTCATAGCAATAATGGATTTCTAAATGATTGCTTTACGTCCAATTTAGTTGCGATTTGTCTTGCTTAATCGCCAGTGACAAGGTATATAAAACTAGTTTCGATTATAATGCTTCTCTTTCGCAAGAATTTCACTCCGTTGACCTGAGCGGTTAATTAAGCAGTCTTGATTGCATTCACGCTGATGTTAGAAAACTCTACGGCACGGGAGTGATTTTCAGTAGCAATCCAACATAGAAATATATACCCTTGACTTAATATGGATGAAGCTAAAAGCTTAACAACTTGTAAATTACCAGTTAAAATCGTTCTTAATGTAAACTTCCGAAGTTGTGCTGTTAATATTGTTGTTACATAAAAGCATTATCCAATTACATTGTTGTACACTTCCAAAGTGATGTTGTTATTATTGTTACAACATAGAGTATTCTACAAATGTATTGGTGTATGTTGCGCAGGTCAGGTAAAGTAATGGCCCCTATTAGCGATGTACTGGCTGCTGATCATACTTTTAGAAGTTATGTCACGATTTTTTTCTTCAAGAATGTACTAGCTTATATTATTTTATTATATGTATATCTTTTAATTATGATCTACTGCACATGTCTGCTCTCCAATACACGTTGATATGGCTTGCCTAGTGCATTCATAATTGTAGCAGTTAGCCATCTTTGGAGACAACCTTTAAACTTTACCACTAACCGTAGTCAGAGTAAGGAGCAACAAAGAGAACCACACGTTTAGTTGCAAAAACTCTTAAACTAATATCAGAGTAAGAGCGTTACAAAGTGTTAGCACGCCATATCTGACTTTATTTTTCTAATTCAGTTATTCATTATACCCTAAGCAGTATATATCAAGTTTTTCGCAAACTCCCAGTTGGTCAAATACCCTATACACTTATACTTTCCAAGGGAGCTGCATATAGCTGTCATACCAACTGACCGCTCGCAATCAACTCTTGTATGGAAAATTTGTTTATTTGATGGAATATCTTCACAAAACTTTGCACATGTTATGTTCCGGGGAAGCGCTTCAATCTCTGAAGTAATTGTCCAGATCGAACCACTATAGCATGTAGCTGCATACCAACTAAGCGATCAAAATCAAGTTTTTGTATGGATAACTTTTTTATTAGACGAAGTATCCACGAAATTTAATATGCATTATTTACAAAGACAACGATACAATATTCTAACAACTTATTTAGATCGAATCACTATAGCATATAGCTGTCATACGAACCGATCGAACGAAATAATTTTATGGAAATTTTTGTACATGTGTAGGGTATTAGAATACTTCACAACCTATTAATTGGAGTTGAAACACTTGTATAAACATTTCAATTGGGAGCAATGAACGCTGAAGCAAAAAATTTTTCAGTTTTAAACTAAATTTAACTATTTCATTATAAATAAAAGTCAGCCACTGCAGCTGATTAAACAATAAATTAATATATTTTTATGTACAAACATACATATATGTAGGTATGCCATACATATATACAATAAAATTTTACAACAGTCGGATCTACTTAACTGGAAGGGACCCAGATTTTTTATTCGACCAAGTAATGTCAACTCGTCAAAATTCTGCCAATACAACAAAAATAACAATAAAATGTTGCGCAAATCAATTGGTTAACCAAATAGCCTACCTAAAACGATTACCGTTACGCTTTAAGCGCTGCAAAGGAAACTGCAGCAAAATAAAAATATCAATATTTTATATACACTGTGCTTTATATGTATGTAGACCATGTAAATGAAATTTTATTATTTTAAATTAAATTATTTGCCTTCATAACACTTCGATAATGCTGAGACAAGACAAGTTTATTGCTCTATTTATGTTTTCATCTCAATGGTTATATCATTTGTTGCTGCATTTGTGAATGCATTGAGTGGCTGCAACTGCATTACACAGCATATGAACTTATATGTATGTAGGAGTATACATATGTACATGTACATAAAGTTATATATGTATGTAGCTATATAAACAAGTTTTCAAAGCAACTGCGTGCCTGCGTTGCAAGTTTCTGCCATTGATTTGGAGTGTGTAGTGGTGTGATTTGCTATTGTTGTAGTATACGTGACTTTTACAAACTTGTATGCTTGCAAGAATATAAATGAATATATACTATTTTCAATTATTTTGCATTAACCCATAAAAGTACGCAATATTATTTACATAGTATATTTCAAGATAAAATATGAATTTATTTAGAAAATAAATTGTATATATGCTTAAATTTAATTAGTTTGGGAAATGGAACAATTTTGTTTGTTGTCTCTTTAAGAAAGAAGTGCTCAATCAATTAAAAAAATTATCTTCAGTTAATTTGAAGCGGCATTAAATGAATTATAACAGCAAAATGGTCAAAAATAATATAAATAAAAAATGGCGTGTTATATAAAAGGACCCGTTCAGTGGCTACAACAAAAACTTTAAACAGCTATATTTCAATTGAAGTTTTCATAAACAGCAAATTATTATTCAGTGCTTGTCTTACTAATACATTGCAGTTGTCGTTATTCGTTTGTTACATAATAAACTCAATTGTTTTCGTATTTGTTTCTTTAATTTTCTTATATTCACATTGCAATAACTATTCTTAACATGTTTGTGGCTTACTACACAGAGACATTGAGATAAAATGCACAGACGTTTAGAGTTCCTCACAATCGTGTCTTCTATTTCAAATATTACGTCTGCAGCTTTGGAACAAATTTAGCAAGGAATTTGTACAAAATTAAAAAGCACATGATATTGAGCTTGGCTCTCCGAATCTTTCGACTTTAGTGATGTCTTTGTGAAACTCAAACTCATTTTGCTTTATATATGTAATATTATCTATATAAAATGCCTATTGTTTTGTGTTGTTATCTATGATTTTATTACTCTTGCATTTATCGTCTGATTTTGGTTTTTTGTCAAATATATGTGTCCTTTATTACCAATGCTAATATTATTTACTCTGTTTTTAAATACTATTTATTATGCAATAATACCTCTCTAATTTTATATATTTCCATTATTTCAAAATTGTTTTAATTTTTTCTTTATGTGTCTATATGTATGCTGTATATTTTTATTATTTATATTTAAATTTTTTATCTTTCACAACAATTGTAAATAATGGAAAAGTATATGTATGTAGTGGCATTCCGCAAGAAAAAATTAAATACATCATATTTATAATATAAATTTATGATAGTAATTATTCTCATATGTTAGAAAAATCCATTTGTTGGTTTTTGTTTTTTTCTACTAGATTTTTGTAAACTATGTATATTGTGTATGTATGCATGTAAATATATAAAAGTGGCATTGGCAGATAGCGTGATTGCTCATCATTCAATCCCATAATAATTAACAGGATCTTATTTACTGAAAGCCATAAACACTGCCCAAAGTATTTCGTTTGCGTTCGGTTTGGCCGCCTCCGTTTCAAAATCCAAGTCCAACAATTCACGCACACGCTTCATGGCCAATTCATAGTCGTCGTCATTTAGCGGCGCAAATGCATTCTCGATTACGTCACTAGCATGCGCCAAAAATATTAAGGCCAAAATACGTCTATCCATGCGTTGTGGATCATTGATCCATTTGGAAAGTACGGCGTCTTGTATCTGTGGTGCATACGAAATAAACATATACAAATATAATGTTATTTAAATGTAATTATTACAAATAGTATGCACCTTTTTCACTAGACGACATTTGACCACATTATCGCTAAGCGGATGTGTCGTCATATCGAAAAGTAAAAAATTTTGTTTCTCTGTTGTCAGCACGCCCTTTTCCACTAAATTCTTTGCCAAACGTTCACGCACGTTTTTCAATTGATACCGCAATTTCAAGGGATTCCATGTTTCGCCTACAATTTAAAGCCAATTGTTAATTATGATTTTTTTCTTTTGGTGAGCGTGTAGTTAGTTACCACTCAAATATTCTATCCAACTTTGCACAGTTTCTGGTGGATCTGTTTCTTTAATATGTTTTAACGCTTCGTCAAGTAACACATCACCGGTCGGCTGATCTGATTTCAATACGAGTTTTCTATAAACAGCAATTATAAATTTAAATATTTGAATTTTTATAGTAATTATTAAATTTTCGTTTAATATTATTGCTTTACCTGGAACACAAGCCGCGGCGACGCATACCCGTTTTCTCCATCATCACACGACCTCGCAAACCGAGTTCAATGAGAATGCAGCCACGTAGACCGCTCGATATGCAATCATTCCAAAAGGATGTGTATCCCTATAAGTTGAACAATCATATATTAAAAGATGAAAAATTGAAAAATGTAAACCACCAAATACATTTCAAATAAAATCAGTTTCAAAACCACAATATATGTAAGCAACATATGTATATACATAAGTATGTATATGGACATAATTACTATGCAGGAATAGATTTTTAAGTGAACGAGCGGCCGGGTAAGGCGGAAGTGAAATTTGGTGATAAGAAATGAAACCACTGTTATTATCACAATCTTGGTTAAAACATAAGGAACTACTTAAAATAATTGAAATGTTTTAGCCTACACAAGAGGTATTAAAATGATGGAAATATATATATTTACATGCGTACATACACATATGTGTAATATATGCACGTTCATATACAATTATTAACATATGTGTTAATCATTTTAATAGTTATTTTAAAAGTAATATATTATTGCTTTAATGAGACCCCTGCTATTTATTATCTGAAAAAGTAAACTGGAAAACCCGTAAGTCGTAGAATATTAATCATAGTTCCAAAAATTTTATATTTGGGAAGCATATCCGTATAGTATTGTTGTTTAGTTTTTTGTGATAACTAGAAATACTTGTTTAATGATAAGAACGAAAGCGATTCAGTCATTTTGCTTGATAAAAGAATTGCTTAGAGCATCAAACATGTATGTGGGTATATTTTGAGAAATTAGTTACTTCTATAATTATCTTAAGGGGTTTTTATTGAGATTGATTTATCCAATTTCAAAATTAAGTAATTGTTAATGGATTTATTTCTATTTTCTTTATGTGTGTCATTGAGGCCAAACGTCGATTAATGAGAAAACTCTTATTTATGCAAAATTTTCAAATCAAAACCCTATAGTATTTAGTATACACTTTACATTAGAACAATAATTGTTCTCTTATAATTACATTAATTTTTATTACCATTAAGTTGAATTAACATTTAATAGAATCCACACAATTGATGTATGTACATAGATACATTCCTTCACAGTGAACTTTATATGAAAAAAATTAAAGGGTGCGAAAATGGAAACAAAGACACAATATGTGCCTACGTTGAATGTTAGCACACTTCGTAAACAGAGAGGCAACTACAAATACAAAAATGTTCCGCCACCGCATCAAATGTTAATGAAGGTAGCAGAAGCTCGTCATTGCCATAACAGTTTGAAAAGTTAAAGGCAGATAGATATAAAGACGTCAATTCTAAGTGAAGAACGTGTTAATTGCACCACATTGATAAATTGAGCTTTGGCTCACTTATTTTCGTTAACTGCCAGTATTTTTCTCTTAACTTCAATACTACAGTATTGTTTTTAACTATAATACCCGCATCTAAATAATTACGGCACTGCAATAATATTAATACAATTCCAGAAAAATTCCGATAACGCTACAGCACAACTATTTACCTCCTTGTCTTTTAGGCCCAACAGCAACACTTCTTCCATAAGTGTTAGACGTGTCTGTTTGGAATCTCCATCATCTATATTGTCCTCTTGATCTTTATTACTATTATTCAAATCGTTATCGTCATCCGGTGTGTTTGCATTTAGGCCAGCAGCACCACCTTCAGCTCCATTATCCCGTGTTTTAACGGCTCGTCTCACCAAACCATCACTCCGGTTCATTTTATTTGTTATATTATTTATTGAAAAGAAAAGCTCAATTTATTATGTCGCTATTTACTTAATTTTTTACCCGTAGAAATATACGCAAATTTTATTTGTCAGCGCATTCGTAAGTAATTGGTGAAGTGGCGCTCCGCTACGTTTTGTTTTACACCTTTTCTTTGTTGCTGTTATTACTGTTCCTTCCGTTTCTATGTTATTTTGTGTCACTTCACTTCACTGTAACAAGTTATAGCTATTTACTTTTATTTAGTTATTATGTGCAATATAAATATTTTAGATTTTTAAAGAATGGTTATAAATTTGCTACACACTTTGCTGAAAAACACAATTTTACGATTTATTACCGATATTTACGATTGGATAGAGGAAAAAATAATTTTCGTCGTAAATTTTCTCCTCCTCTAAATTCTGACATTTCCTTCCACGACAGATATCTTTTTGACAGCCAGTATTGCCAATAATAACAAATACCTGACTGAAACAGCTGTGCTGGTTAGACAATTTTAACACCTACATTGTATTGATTCAGCAGGTGTATAGTGAATACGTGTGATAATCGAAAATTCAATTAATTTCGAAGTACATATAGTATTGCAAAAACCTACAATACATTGCTAAACGTACAATAATATAAGTAAAGTACTATAAGTATAAAGCAATAGTACTATTTTCATAAGAATAATTATCAATAATAATAATCTTTTTATGGCACCACTGCATCTGCCAGGGTTTCTTCACTTTCCCTACTTTTTTGCCGCTAGCTGTCGCTGCAATACAAGTAATCTGAAATCAACATAAATGTTTGAAATTGAAATTTAGTTGGTGTTCCTGCTGCATAAAATTGTATTTTCTTAAAGGCCACACTTAAATAATCTCGAGAAATGTATTTAATATCAACGGGGAAGACTACTGTGCTTTCGGATTTTATTAATTTAGATACAAAATCTATTTATCAGCATGCAAATGGAGAAACAACGGATTTTCAGTTTTACGCCCGACAGCGTATTTTCCTGGAGGTGAACAAAAAGTCAGGTCTGGAAATTATGCGAATTAAGGATAAAGGCAATAACAGTAAGCATACCATGTAGCATATAAAAGTTTGTTATCTTGCAAAAAGTAATGTTTTTATATAAAGATTTAAATATTCAACGAGTACGCAAACTAAATATCGGAAATGTCTACAGTGCCGCTTGCGCAAAACAATCGATGGAAGAAATGGCTTTTGGTGGAGTAAATGGGCAAGTTAGCATATACAATTATAAAAACTCTGAGCTGATACATCGGTTTAAAGCCGGTTAGTATGCAACATATTTTGATAATCGTATATACGTTTATTAATGTTTTATTATTTATATAGATAATAATCGTAATAGCGTTTTGTATTTGGATTACAATGGTACGGATGAGTATATATCTTCTGTGTTTGAAAATGGCCAAATCAATATATACGGAACCAAAACAAAGACTAAAATCGATAGCGTAAACATAGATGGCAAGTAAGTAAACACAAGTCTTGATTTAACTCAATTCTAACATTTTCTTCTTAGCTCTACTTTGGCTCGCTTTCACCCTACCAAACGTTTCCAATTTTCTATAGCATCATTTAAGGGCGCTGTAACAGTTTATGATTTGCAAACTAAACGCAAAATATTTAATTTAAATGATGCACACGCTTCGCCCTGTCGCGATTTATGCATGTCCGCTGCAACACCTGATTCTCTAATAAGCGTCGGCTACGATTGTATTGTTAATGTGTTCGACACGCGACGTAGAACACCACAAATGAAACTAAATCATCCTCATCCCCTGTCAACGGTGGCAATGAGTGGTTGTGGCACATACTTTTGTGTGGGAAATTTAAAGGGTGAATTGATTTCATATGATATACGGAGTGTTAAAAAATGCTTAGCAACCAAAAAAGTGCATGATTGTTCTGTTACAAGGCTGTCATTTGTGCCGCTATCTGAAGATGACGGAAGTACTACTTCAAGTTTCAGCGGTATAATAGCTAACAATACTGACAGTCCAACGGAATATCTTGGCGAACAACAAAAATCAACCGCAACAATGCGACAACGCGACTCCTTTTGTGATTTCCTAGATTTTCAGTCGAATAAATTAGATCGCATGTCGGCTCGTTTCACGATGCGACGTGACAGTTTTGATTGGGATACACTTGGACGGAAACCAAAAACCGAGGATACCACCCCAACCTCAGCGAAACTTAATGGGAGCAGTGAAAACCTTAATGAATCTGCTGAAAAATCGACTGAAAATATTTCCAATGGAAAATTAAATATGAGTTTCGATTATGTTAATACACGGCGTAAGAACTTGGAGGACGGTAAAAAACAATTTACGAGTAAGTTCACATTATGAATGAAAATTGCTTTCGTGATTTTATTGTTTACAAATTCTGATCTTTTATTAACACCCACAGCTCCATTACGCGACCGGAATAGTATATCGAAACTGGTTACTAATTTGAAACAAATTGAAGAAGAGGAATCCTCTCACATACTACATCAAAACAATGTTAGCAATAATAGTGACAAAGAGAATCCATCAAATGCGGAAATGCATTTCGACACCCACGGTCAACTGGATAAACCGTTAAATGCGTACAGTAGCACTCCGATAGATAGCATAAAAGTTAAGAAAGTAGATCAAATAAAATCAGAGGTAATCAACGAAAATAATAATGTGGAAGCTGTAAATACTACAGAAAATAATCATTTAGAGGAGGTGAATATTACTGCCACACCAGGCGATATTTTAAAGCACATCACAGATTTGCGCTTGGAAATGAATACACGGTTTCAAAAACTAGAATCGGAAATAAAATTTAATGCTGAGCAAAATAAGTGGCAAATCTTTACGCAAATGGCTGACATTTGGGCACGACAAATGAACACTAGTGAAGATATACGTGATGCACTGAGCTATCTGCTGCAAACTGATCCTTTTGTCAACGAATTTTTGCGTTTGAAAGATGAAAACGAATTACTGAAAGCACAGCTCCAGCAAATCATGGAGAAAAAGTAGGTAAATGACTTTGTTATAGGCAACTCTTCGTTTAAAATAATTAATTAAAAATATTTTAAATATAATGTAGTGAATTAAGTAAACGCACTGAGTAGAAACTTATTAAAACGAAATTGTATTTCATTTATTGCATAATTCCACGAAAAAAGACTTTATGCTGCCAAACAGAAATCATACACATAGAAATAAGGATTAACTGAAAAATAATTAAATGATTAACATAATTGTATACTTTATTAGTGCAAATATAAAGTTTTGCCAGTTAATAAATGGAGTTTTAAAAAATTACCTCAAATATTATGCATTTGAAAATGATAAAAAAATATACATACATATATATATAAACCAATTTAATTACGTTCATTGAAGCCGGACTAATCTATAGTTTTCATGTCGACCTGCAAAGAAAACGCAATTAAAACTTGTAGAACACTTTGCATTTGTATGCCACTTTAAATGTACCGATATAGTTGTATTGAAATTGCTATAGTCAACGATATAACGCTCATTGCGTGAGTCGTAGTTGATAATGTTGACAAAGCGCTGTCCCCAGAAAATATCTTCGCATGGCACGTAGGAAGTGCGTGCCTCCGTTACCATAGCAGTTGCGGCAGAGCAACCAACAATCGACACATACAATTCAAATTGTGCTTCATTCAAATCTTTAGCCGACTTCAAATAGTACAAAGGGCTGGTCTCATCTATGAAGTGGCATACGATTTCTGGCCAAACAATAATTTGCTCACCATTGCCATCCAATTTCAGTTCAGTGCGTGTTTGCAAGAACTCGCCCTCGCGTGTGCTAAAAATAAAATAATTAAAATAGGACTTAGTTAATTTAAAATAAGGACTTATTTCAACACTTATCACTGGTAACAGGCCTTACGTTTTCCCCATTATGAGATAAACGCGTATCTTCGACTCTATGACTTGTTGTTTGCGTGGATCGCAAACGCGAAATAAGAGACAGAGTTTGCCATCCCGATGACAAATCTGGAAAGTACATAATTATTAACAAAAAAAAACGGAATGTAATGGCGCATTTTGAGTTGGAAATTCAGAAAAATTCGAAAAATTTAGATTTTAATTTTTTCTTCTGGTTACTATTTTTGGTTTTTTTTATTTTAT